GGGGGGGGGGGGGGGGGTCATATCATATAAAGCCAACGTTAGGGGTTAAGGTGGGTGTGGGTAAGCTTTCTGTCTTCTAGGAATCTAATTATGTTCAATTCTTTTGAGTACATCAAGAGATTATAGCGTCTTCAATGTCTCATTGGATATCATATGAATAAAAAATATATTATATTGTACCTGTTGGTGGTTTGTTGGAGAGGGGAGAGGAATAAGGATATGGTGAATCCATGTAATTGTTGGGAACGAGTTAATATTTTAATTAAAGATGAAAAGAGAGTAGAGAGTGATAGGGCTCGGATCTCTCTCTCTGTTAGGGGAAACTGGAAGATGGGTTTGCAGAGTTTCCACCCACCTCCATAACCATTATTAGGGAATCTCAGCTCTTTTCTTTCTTTCTTTCTTTTTTTTTTTTTTGGGGTATAGACAGGGCAGAACACAACAGTGTGTTTTTTTCTCTTGAAAGAAATATTTTGGTAATGGCAGTCCGAAAACCTCGTGTCATATCGTGTTTTTTTTTTCCGACAGGTGTACAGTAGGTGAGGGACTGCGTGTTTTGCTTTCACACATGTCAAATTTGTTATATATGTTTCTATAGAGCTCCCATTAAAAGGGCCAATTGGGGTCGTTCACCTTCACGTATCGGAAACGCAAACGCTATACGCATCCTGTAACATTCAGTTTTGTTCATCTTACTTGGGGATATTCTCCTCCCTCGGCATTGGGCCAAAGAAATTAGGCAACTGAACAGTTCATGGGGGTCTGAAATGGGGCTTTCTCGGCGGCCCATTGTCAGTCAGTAGCACGTTCGGTCCCATCATTTTTGTGGAGCGGATTCCATTTGATAACATGTCCATTATGCGAGCATGTTATACTTTAAATACTATGATACCGCTTAATATTTCTATTTTTCAATATAACACACAGATTTATGCAAATGTTGAACCGTGGATTTTAGAAAGATATACTTTTTGTTCCACCATTAATATGTGCATTGTTATAGTTTCGAGATCTAGTCATTAATTTTTTTTTAGAGTAATAATAATGAAAAACAATGGTAAAGTTCATTCCTCACGCGCCTAAAATTCGCATTCCACAGGAATCCGCTGATTTCGCGGGCTATAACCCACCCAAATCAGGCGCGTTGTGAAAACGCGCTTGTACTGCGCGTGGGATTCCTCCGCGTGAAGACCTCATTTCAATCATTTGGGCTTCTGAATTATTGGGCTTTGCGGCCCACCTTTGGATTACACCGTTGTATACAATCTGACTGCTCTCATTTCTCTATCCAACCTGAACCTGAATCAACAAATCATTGCTCACAAAATATGAAAAAATTCATATAAACATAGCTTTTATTTAAATTTGAAATTATCAAATTAATTAAAACACGAACTTTTAGTGATTTGCTCATATCATGCCTAGAAAATATGTTAGTTTAAAAACTAAAAAATGTGTGGTACTTTGTAAAAACTATAAATTCAGAAGTTATAAAAAAACTGGCATTTGACTACTTATTTCCGATCAAAACTCAACCTAAAGCCTTAATTATCAGAACCACGAGAAGAAACTCGAACCATTTTCATTGTACAATTCAACAAAAACAACAATTTAAACAAATTAAGGGGCAATTAACAATCGAAAAACGAATTTCTCAATTGTTGCAGCCTTTGAAGAAGAAGAAGACTGCATAGCCAACAAGGAAGAGAGAGAGAGAGAGAGAGAGAGAGAGAGAGAGAGAGAACCTTCTTATTAGCCGGAGAGGGCAGTTCGACGCCGAACTGCGCCTCAGCTATCTCCAGCTCTGTCATGGCTGAGTTCAAATGGCTGAGTTCAGTTTCTGCGTGAACTCAGCCAGACCCTGCTGGAATCTCAACCATGCAGATGACTGAACTAAGGGTATAATGAGAATGAAAAAGAAAGATACTGCATAAGCCACTACACCGTCAGCACAAGAAAATCAATCAATGCACTGAGGATGTTCCTCTGCAAACTATTTGCATTCTTTTACATACTGCCATCGATGTATACCAATGGATAGATATCGATCATGGGTATACATTCACGGAAATCCAAGAAATTTTGAACTACCGTTCAGTCTACATGAAAAAGATTACATATCTACCGGAGATATACCTATGAACATCAAAATGTATATCCTTTTGAACTACCAGTGAATGTTTACATCTAGTCTATGTCTGTGCCCTTTTGATACAATGCTAGGGATCAATACCGGCTAAGACTATACGTTCGTAAAATCCAGAAGTTATAAAAACAGTAATTACCACAAATATCAGTCAATATAACAGTTGCTATAGATCAGTATTCAATTTCATTCCCACCATCTGTGTGTGTACATTTGGAACAAGTATATAATCTGCATGACAATATGACAATATGATCCATCATCCAGCCCACACCATCTATGGCAATACTCCATCATCTATGGCAATTCATCTTTTTCTGGGCATGCTTAGAACCAGTGTATAGGAACTGGCAAGAACTATCTACTCCTAGATGTTCAAAAGTAAAAAATCATGGACAGCCCACACGTAAATCGTGGCACATACATATAAATCAAGACGGGTCAGCCAACGTACTGTGGTGTTGGAGAAGAAAAACGCCAGAAAACAATCGAATGCCTGAACAAAGAAATAGTAAAAGGAAACCCGTGTTTTTCACAGACCAGACAAATCAAAACTCTTTCAAAAGCCTCAATTTGAGTATCCACTATCCGGCTGCTCAAAGAACATTTTTTGCTAAAACCGGACACAAAGTAATCTGACTGAAAGCTTCAGTCTTAAATCTAAAAAAATGAAGGACTAAATTAAAATCGAATGTATGGTTAACCTAAGACACTCATTCATGACTTCAGAAAATTGTTGATTTTGGTCATCTAACCGGCCGACCTATCCAGCATTACAAGTCTATAATAGCCATTTGAAAACTAAGAAATCCTGATCAATTTGCTACACATTTCTCATCATCAAAACCCTAGAGCTTCGTACCAATCCTAGAATAAAGACCATCCTAAAACCTGGTTAATAAAAGTATCGCATACAATGTAACGGGTGAAGCACCAGCCGTAGAAATTGTCGAATATATCCGAAATGTAGCTTGACATTTTCAACAGAACCGCCGACCAGATGCAGCCGAAGGACACGTGCCATAAGCAAATCACATATCATAACCTAGAACAAAAGGGAAACGACGATCGAAGAACAGGAAACAAACCTCCTTTCCGGAGAGCTCAGATGCGTGAGGGAGAACGAAGTTTACGGTGAATTTGTGTTGGTTTAGTGCTCTATGATGTACTGATTATGAGCTTTGTTCAGATACATTCGATGTATTGATACTTTCTATGTGATTTTATGAGAGTATTTTATTCATTACATGTTCTTGCATGCTAGATCTGTTATGAAATCCATGTATCATTAGGAATGATACTAAACTCCCTAGTCTTATGTCGTTATGGGAATAACGACATAATAAGACTAGTATGATGTGTGATTGATGATCACATAGATGATCATAGGTATTGGATACGATCACGATCATAGGTATTCGTTGGAGAACGGAATACTGGAATGACCCGCATGAGATTGTCACATGGACTAGAGTCATGACTAGAATCTCATATGACGGTTCCATGATTAGATCCTAAGACCTGAGATATCTACGGAATCCAACATGAGGAGTTGCGTGCTTTGATTACGTCAAACGTCCTGCGTAACAGGAGGACTATAAAGGCGTGTATCAGGTACGAAACGAATCATGTACTGGATTGTAGATAGTCAAGACGGGATTTGTACCTCTCGTAAAAGAGAGAGATATCGCTGGGCCCCTCGTGTGAGCGAGACTGTAGAAATGTGTGGCCGCACTATAGACGAATGTCGTCTATTTCAGACAGTCAAACTCAGTTAACGAGAAAGCAGTCGAATCAGATAAGGTGGCTGGTCCATGCCTTATGTTCGACATATGATATCGCGATACAAAAGGATCATCAGCCGGAATCATCACTGGCGTTCGTATGATCACGAACAAACTCTATTCGAGATAGGTAGTCATAGCGTCTTGCTAGAGACCGCCTATGACTTGTATATCCGGAATAGAGATTTCGGACTATACTGCTATGTCGAATGAGCCTACAGGGTCACACACGCAGGGAAGGACGAATACACGAGAGAAAACGACGGAAAACCGAGGCGGAAGGGTCCAGACCGGACGGACCGAAAGGTTCGGAACGGACGGTCCAGACCCTACGGTCCAGACGTGTGGTCCGTCAGTTCTGGAGACTGGAACAGACGTTCCACATTAGCACGCAGACCGTCCGTTCTACGTGGTGGAACGGACGGTCCACGTTTTAGGCAGACCGTCCGTTCTACACACTGGAACGGACGGTCCCAGTGCTTTTCTGGACCGTCCGTTCCGGGTTCCGGTTTTCCGAAAATTAAACCGAAATTAGGGTTAAATCACTATATAAGATAGAGATTAAAACCCTAATGTAGGAGAGACGAAGAACAGCCGACTTTTTCAGAAAAGTGTGAGTTTTTGGAGATCCAAAAACGAGTTCTAAGTCTCGGGATTTCTCGGTGCACAAATCGATCAGAGATTCGAGTCCTAGCAGACAAGTTCCAATCGTTGGAATCCATCCCGAGGTGTGGATACGTGTAGAGGGCGAGGTAATCTTCCTGCCTTTCGTGATCGGACGAATTCTTCAGTTGATACAGGCCCCGGATCGATTGAGGTAAGCGTTCTAACGTTTCTGCGATTTCAATAGCAGCGTGGTTCTAGGGTTCTATAATTTATGTTTTACATCCGCTGCGCAAACCCTAGAATCGATCTCTTAGGAATAGGATTCGCTCATGAGATCCCAGGAAACCCAACACTCTGGACCGATCGGTCTAGGGTTTCTGAGGTTGATTGGACCGACAGGTCCAGACTAAACGGTCCGCCCTTGTGGACCGATCAGTCTGGACGAAGACCGAACAGTGTGGACGGTCAAACCGAAAGGTCTGGACCGTTATGGACCTGGAGACCGATTCGTGTAGACCGATCGATCCAGGCCTGGACCGGACGGTCCAGCTGTGTCAGTCCATCCGTTCCGCTGAGGAACAGACCGATCGTTCCGCAAGTGCCAGACCGTCTGGTCCAGACCTGAACCGGACGGTCCAGGCGTGCAGACCGTCCGTTCTGCATAGAGAGACAGACCATCCGTTCCACATAGGAGTCAGACCGGACGGTCCGACTTTCGGGAAAATTTCCTTTTCGCGATTTTTAGGGTTTAGGTAATCCTATTAATGATGGGAGCCGCCACAAACCCTAAATAATCAACCTAACACGTCCTAGACACTTCCTAGAGCCTTGGAGAAGCTTTCTCTGGAGTTCTAAACCCCGTAATATCGATTCCAAGTCAAGGACGTTTTCTCTTCACAAATCCTAGCAGATATGTTCCAAAGTGTTGGAATTCATCCCGCCGGTGTGGATACGTGTAGAGGATTTGTACTTTCAACTCTTGGTGATTAAAACATGCCCTGGATCGATTGATACTTCCAGATATTGATAGAACGAGGTAAGTACTCGAATCCCACGGTGATATACACGTTCTTTCGGGTTATTGCACAATTGGTTTTGTGTGATGTTTGGCTAGGTTTAGATCTTTTTCTTCCACTGCATGAAACCTAGAAACCAAACCCTAGATCGATGAGATCGCATGCAAGGAACCCGCAGGAAACCCAACACGTCTTGCAAGGTAGGAACGTCATTCCCTATAAGGAGAATGTCATCCACGTACAACACTAGAAATACTACTGTGCTCTCACTAACCTTCTTGTAAACACACGGCTCGTCTTCGTTCTGTGAGAAACCAAACCTTTTGATTGTCTCATCAAAGCAAAGATTCCAGCTCCTCGAAGCCTGCTTCAGTCCATAAATGGACCTCTGAAGCTTGCACACCTTCCCCGGGTTCCTTGGATCGAC